TACAAATATTGTCTGCTGGCCTAGAAACAGCACCGAGCATTGTTTGCTTCCCTTTGCCGTTTCTTAGCTCCATCCAAACTGATCAAACATCTTGATCCTTTAATCTAAGATCCTCTCTCACAATGTATGGATCTCATCCTTTCAGTAACAGGGCTATCCCACCTCCTTTGCCTTTTTGCCAGTCCTTCCCAAACATTGAATACCCTTGAACACTCATTTACCAGCCTTGTTCACATCGCAATATGTCACCATTTGTAATTAGGTCATATTTATTTCCATTTGTGCCATCGATTCATCTATCTTTGTGTGAATGTTGTGTGCACACAGAGTACCTTTAATTCACCATTTTACTGTTTTTGCAACCACTAGACTTATCTACTGGAGTGAACTTAAGTTTGTATACTCTGTCTGTTCCTGTCACACTGAGATTGTCAATTCCTGATTGTTACTTGTTCTGCTACCTTGACCTCTCTTCAATTCATAGAATTTCCTTTCCTTGACATCTTGAGTTCTGAGGAAGGGTCACCGAACCCGAAACATGAACTCTGATTTTTTTTCTTCACAGATGCTGCCAGACCTGCTGAGCTTTTCCAGCAACTTCTGTTTTTATTCCTGACTTCAGTTTTGTTTAAAGCCATCTCTAGCCATTCTATTATTATTACAATTTGTCAGAACCATCAGACTCAGCATGGTTCAGGTGAAGGCCACCATAAGCTACAGTTCCCACTTTCCCCTTGTAATGGTGCCAGTACCTCATTAATCAAATCTCACTTCTCCTACACTCTAATCTTTCACTCTCTAATCTTAATTACCCTATGCCAATTTGCTCATACATCAGGTAATAACCCACAGAGTCTTATCTTCACTGTTCTGCTTTATACTTTAGCCCCAGCTGCTCACACACCTTCAGCAGAACAGCTTTCCTAGTCCCATCTATGTTGTTGCCAGCTAAATGCACAAAACAGAGATAACAAGGTGTAGAGCTGGATGAACACAGCAGGCCAAGCAGCATCAGAGGAGCAGGAAGGCTGACGTTTCGGGTCTAGACCCTTCTTCAGAAATGGGGGAGGGGAAGGGGGTTCCGAAATAAATAGGGAGAGAGGGGGAGGCGGATAGAAGATGGATAGAGGAGAAGATAGGTGGAGAGGAGGCAGACAGGTTAAAGAGGCGGGGATGGAGCCAGTAAAGGTGGGTGTAGGTGGGGAGTTAGGGAGGGGATAGGTCAATCCACTCCCATCCAGCCCCACCTCACCCGGCACTTTTCCCTGCAACCGCAGGAAGTGCTACACCTGCCCCTGCACCTCCCCCCTCACCCACCTCCCAGGCCCCAAGAAAACTTTCCACATCAAGCAGATGTTCACCTGCACATCTGCTAATGTGGTATACTGCATCCACTGTTCCCGTTGTGGCCTCCTCTACATCGGGGAAACCAAGCGGAGGCTCGGGGACCGCTTTGCAGAACACCTACGCTCGGTTTGCACTAAACAACTGCACCTCCCAGTCGTGAACCATTTCAACTCCCCCTCCCATTCCTCAGACGACATGTCCATCCTGGGCCTCCTGCAGTGCCACAATGATGCCACCCGAAGGCTTGGGAGCCCTGCAGTCCAATGGTATCAATGTGGATTTCACAAGCTTCAAAATCTCCCCTCCCCCACCGCATTCCAAAACCAGCCCAGCTCGTCCCCGCCTCCCTAACCTGTCCTGCCTCCCACCTATCCCCTCCTCCCACCTCAAGCCGCACCCCCATCTCCGACCTACTAACCTCATCCTGCCCCCTTGACCTGTCCGTCCTCCCTGGATTGACCTATCCCCTCCCTACCTCCCCACCTACACTCACCTTTACTGGCTCCATCCCCGCCTCTTTGACCTGTCTGTTTCCTCTCCACCTATCCTCTCCTCTATCCATCTTCTATCCGCCTCCCCCTCTCTCCCTATTTATTTCAGAACCCCCTTCCCCTCCCCCAGTTCTGAAGAAGGGTCTTGGCCCGAAACGTCAGCCTTCCTGCTCCGCTGATGCTGCTTGGCCTGTTGTGTTCATCCAGCTCTACACCTTGTTATTTCAGATTCTCCAGCATCTGCAGTTCCTACTATCTCTGAAGCAAATGCACAAAACAGCTGGAATCTCCCCCTCCCACAGGAAGTTCCTCCGCAGTATTGATCCCCTGCAGCTATCCAGGACAAAGGAGCACACAGTGAACTACTGCTATTGTGCCACAATCTCTCTCTTTTTTTTTAAGGAGGGCAACCTTTGAAGTGCCCTCTCCTTCAGGACTCAGACATGTAATAGCACTCTAATAACCCATCCCTTTTTCCTCAGCCGCACACTGCCTGTCTAAGTACTAAACAAATGCTTCCGATTAGGCATAGGCTGTCTCAGAGTCTCTCCCTTCAATGTGTGAGATTTCTGTATTCAAACTCAAACACAGAAGCCTGACCAAAGAAAATGCAGCTCCCTCTGACTCACTTCTTGTTTCAAGATCACGAGAGCTCTCTTGAGCGGTGGGAGCCACATTTAAGTCACCAGCGTTCAGTGAGCAGGTTCGTGAAGGCACGAGTGACTGAAATCAACCTGACTGTACAGGGGAAGCTGCATTAAATACTGGCGAATAATATTTCAATCGCAAGTGTCCATTTTGCAAAAAATTTATGATGTCCCTGCCCCAAACAGGCGAGTTTCCTGAATCTTTACCTTCTCAATGCTGATGCAATCAGGAGTTATTTTCCCCGCTGCCAGATTTCTGATGCCAGACCTCCCGCATGATTCTCTGAGCCACCCACTGACTTGCCTACTCTAACAGGCTCCACACAAAATCCAGCTTCACAAGGCTCTGCTGTATTTTGGATTTTGCTGCAGATTAGATGATCCGATACTGCCTCTGCATCGTTGACTACTTTTCAAAAGAAATTGACTGACTTTGGGATGTCCTGAGGTCAGGCAAGCATTTCTGCCATTCAGTTCAGTCAGTAAGAAGCTATCAGTTCCTAACAGAGCCAAGCAGTGATACAATATACTTTTAAAGAGGGCGGGATTGAAATATTTCCACTTCAATGATAATTTGTTTCTTCATCCTTCCTGAAAATATTCCCTTGAGCTGTAGGAAATGGGCCAGTAGCAACGAACTGCAGAATGTTTGCAGGAAGGATGGGAAGAACAAAAGCATAACTGGAATGAACTAACAAGATTAATTTCAAGTGCCCTCATTCATTTAGGAAAAATAAGCCCTATTTTAGATAGAAAGCAGGGTTAAGCAGTGAAATATCTGTGCTTGCCCCTTGACCCCACGTGAGGTAGTGATTTATTTCTACTTTAACCAAGTCCAGCTTTTACTGCCCATGGTCTGATTTTCCACATACCAGAAAATTCAAGTCCCAATTCCTTGACCAGTGCATTAGCACTAACCCTCATTACCTACTTGCAACACTTACAATCAGATAAACTGTGAACATTTTTTTAAAGTTAAAAAATGCTCCTCAATATCCAAACGAAAATTCAAACCCACTTTGAGTTAGAATCAGATGGTAAAATGGCATCAAAGGGTTAAAAATTTTTAACCTTCTCCAAAACTTGCAATCCCAAGGAAAAGAAATGTTTTGATAACATTACAGTGTGCTATTTTCACCTTGCCATATCAGAAAACTCATACAGTCCTACATGACGTTTCATTTGTTGGGCAATCACACAATTATTTGTCCAACGTGCCACATTCTTCAAACTACATACTCTATCCAGTGAACCTTCTACACAGTTGGCGTCTTAGGAACTTTACCCTATAATGTATGCACATGCTGCATATGTTTTCCATAAGTTACTGAAACTCATGATCCCTTCCCATTAAGGTAATTGTAAAATACAATGGATATTGGAAATCCAAAGTAAAAACACAAAGTGCTGGATATACTCAGAATGGCTAACAAACTCTGCAAGAGATGCTGCAAAGATCAGTGTTTTCTTTTTGTTGTTCATCCACCTCTTTCCCTTCAATGGCACAAAGCCCGCCATATTTCTAAATAAAAACTGAAAAAAAAACACAGATGCTGTAAATCAGAAACAAAAACATAAATTGCTGGAAAAGCTCAGCAGGTGTGGCAGCAGGTCTTTGGGTCCAGTGACCTTTCCTGGTAGCTAAGAAAATGTTAGTTTGTATGCGGAGGATAGGGTCAGGTGAGGGGGTAAGGAGTAAACAATAGGCGGGGATAGACACAGAAGAGAGAGGACAGTTGGACAGACACAGCAGTGGATAATGATCTGGCTAGGAGGGTGAATTGCCATTAATGGGGACAGTTAGTGGCTAACAATGGGTTGGGTATGATAGCAGATTCTGTGATAACAAGACCTGGTGTGTGGGGGTGGAGGCAAGGACATAGGAGAGTTCAAGCCCTAAAGTTTTTGAACTCGATACTGAGTTCAGAAGGCTGTAGGGACCTAAGCAGAAAATGAGATGCTGTTCTTTCAGTTTGCGCTGAGCTTCGATGGAACACTGCAGCAAGCCTGAGACAGAGATGTTGGCCAGGGAACAAGTTGGTGTGTTAAAGTGGCAGGCAACTGGAAGCTCAGGGTCTTTTTTGCAGGCAGAACGTAGGTGTTCTATGTTCAGTCTACGCTTCACTTCCCCAGTGTGGAGGAAACCACATTGTGAGCAGCAAATGCAGTAGACTAGATTCAATCAGATTCACTAGATGCTGCCAGACCTGCTCGGCTTTTCCAACAATTTCTGTTTTTGTTCCATCATATTTCTACCTTTTTTCAGTTCTGAATAAATTTTGGACTCGAAATGATAACTGTTTCTGTCTCCACAGCTGTTGCCAGACCTGCTGTGTATTTCCAAGCACTTTGTTTATATTCCATTACTTTGTGGCCCAAATCTTCAAAATGGAGATGAAATTTGGAAAGATTTCTCTGTTGAGCTCTGCAAATATCAAAATCAAAAAGGGTTTCTCTTATCCAATAACTTTTATCTAAATAAGCAACAAAGCATTTGTTCCAATAATAAACTTACATTGCCTCTGTTGATGAACACAGTTACTTGCCCTTCATCTCTTATCTCTGTGAACATTGGGGCTCCAACGAGAAGATCAGAGTAGCCATCTGAGTTCAAATCAACTGCGCATACTGAAGAGCCAAAGTAGGATCCCAACTAGAATAAAAAGATTCAGAAAGTGTCAACAAATACATAGGGCTCCATCACTTAAAGTAAATCTTTTGTGCAAGTGCAATGATTTTGTATTTCAACTTAATATTGCTGTTCTCGAATGCATCTCTGTGCTGAAAGGTTTTAATTTTAAAAAATTCAAAGTTCAGTTGTATGCAAATCAAATGCTGAATAAACCAGATACTATTTAACATAGATAACTGAGATGCATTGAGACTGATTCATCAAGTATTTAAAATGAATAGTCAGAATATTGTGCAGGGCTTATGCTGGAATTTCTGAGCTGTGCAGATGGTGACTGAGAGTCCATATCAGTGGCAGGGAAGTCAGAAATTAAACCCTTTTAGAAAATAGAACATAGAACATAGAACTGTACAGCACAGTACAGGTCCTTAGGCCCACGATGTTGTGCCAAACTTTTACCCTAATCCTAAGGTCTATCGAACCTCCACCCCTACCTTATACTATCATCCATATGCCTATCTAATAGCCGCTTAAATGCCCCTAATGAGGCCAACTCCACTACCCTCTCCGGCAATGCATTCCACGCCCCTACCACTCTCTGAGTAAAGAACCTACCTCCGATGTCTCCCCTATATCTACCTCCACTCACTTTAAAACTAGGCCCCCTCATAATAGCTACCTCCACCCGAGGAAAAAGTCTCTGGCTATCCACTCTATCTATACCTCTGATCATTTTGTACACCTCTATCAAGTCACCTCTCATCCTTCGTCGTTCTAAAGAGAAAAGCCCTAGCTCTCTCAACCTTTCCTCGTAAGACCTTCCCTCCATTCCAGGCAACATCCTGGTAAATCTCCTCTGCACCTTTTCCAACGCTTCCACATCTTTCCTGTATTTTAACACTGCTGTATTATCACATTGAAGGTAGCATTAACCATTGGCTAAGAGGTTTGCTTAAATAATGCACATGCAACTCATGATAAAACACTTTGGGTTCTACAAGAGTTTTTTTAACTTTTTTTGTTGGAACACACATGCTTAGTGACAACTAATCATTAGATTTTTAATATATTCAGCAAGGTGCTTCAGCACTCTTCAAGGAGCAGCGTCTGATAATACACAGTGAAAAAAAAGACATGTTTAAACCCAGATAAGCAAGAAAATACAATTAACTTAAAAGTACAACTGCCAGATTTTCTATCTACATCTGTGCCCAATGTCTGGTCTGCTATTGATGCCCAGTAATAAATCAGGCTTAGGAAGGCAGCAGCTTCCTTTCTGGCAAGATAAAACAATGTAAAATGTACCTTAGAGTGTACACAAGGGATCCCACCCAATAATAAGGAAAAAGACCTGGGAGGAGTCTGCTTCCAAAGTCACCTGCCAGGTCACATAACTGGGATTAAGGGGCAGTTCATTGTTAATTGAGAACATGTACCACACTGCCAGACAACATCACACAAAGGAAAACAGACACAATCCAATCCTTCCAACTCCATCTTAGGTCATTGTTTCCATAGTAAATGCTGGGATAGTGGGAAATGATTCTTGGCAGCAATGCACACATTCAGGAAGGGCAGATACTTTTTTAGTCAACTTGTGCAGATCATATCAGGGCAGGTGGGACTCGAAAACAGACCTTCTGGCCCAGGGGTAGTGATATTACCTCTGCACCTCTCAGGAAGGGCAGATATCAACACAGTTAATGGTCAATTGTTATGCAGTGTACTCATCCAGGCTCACAAGGGAGAATTCAGAATAAGGATAATTGGAACTTTGCAAATACTCAGCAGGCCAGGTAGCAACTTTATAAAAAGAAATAGAACTCTTTGAGTATTTCTAGGATTTTGTGTTTTAATTTCAAATTTCCAATATCAGAGACACTTTTCTTAAACTTATTTGATGCTTCTATCAACTATAGCAATCAAGGACTTCCCGAAAGTAAATGAAGTGAACACACATTTTATAACAACAGTGCTTCTTAAAAACATAAAAAGGGTTTTTTTTTAAATTACAGGTAAATGGTTATAAATATGATGTAATGTTCTACACAGCACAAAGGATTCAGTTGGCTGTGGGCTCACATTTTTCTGAAGTAAGTCAATATTATAAATCCACTGCTTCCCCTATCAATCCAAGTAATAGTGTATTTCTACTAGTGTTTTATGGGGCCTGCATTTGCTTCATTACCAAACAGCAAAAGCTACAATGGCAGCACGAACAAATGCATTAAGGAAATTCTACCATGCACTCTAGCTACAGGTCACCTATTCCAATGTGCAGTCAAATTTCAACCCAGGTGTCCAGAACACCTGCAGGATATACAGGCGCCTCTTTAATAAACACAAATTGGGGTTCAACACAGTTGAAACACAATGCCATCTTCCCTGTTTAACCCACCTGCTAAAGATATATGATACAAGTTCAGATGTAGCATTGCACAGCTACTACTTTCTGTGGTACTGTAGCTCGGTAATCTCAATAAATTGTGGTAAAACGGACAACAGGACATTTATGATGCATCTAAGGCCTCTATCCATTCAGTCTCTTTGTCTGTAATCCAACAGAAATTAAAGTGTGGAATTCTAGAGGAGATGCAGGAGCATGAAGACCTGTCTGTATATGTGCATAAATAATTCAAGATGGTAAGTCAGGTGCAGAGAGTTATTAATAAAACAAACATTATCCTGAGCTTTATTAATAGGGACACAGGGAACAAAAGCGCAGAGGTTATATTGAACTTGTATAAGTCCAACCTCAGGTGAAGTATCGCATCTATCTGGGAGTTGCACTTCAGGAAAGATGTGAAGGCATTGGAGTGTGTGTAGAAAAGATTTGTGAGAATGTTTCCAGGGATGAAGATAGATTGGAGAAGTTGTTTTTCTTTTATCTCAATCAAATGAGATTTGATAGAAATTTTTAAAAAATCAAAGGGTCCAGATAAAACAAATAGGGTAAGGCTGTAAGGAAAAGCATTTCATAGCAAGTGGTTGAAGTCTGGGACGTGGTATTTGAGAGTGTGGTGGAGGCAGGTTCAACCAAGTATTCATAAATGCAATTAGGTAGCTATCTGAAAAGAAAGAATGCACAGGGGTATGTGGAGAAAGGAGAGGAATTGCACTAGGTAAATTGCTCATTCTGACAGTCAGAACAGACAGTAGGGGCTGAATGGCCTCCTCTGTGCTGTAAATACTCTGAGATTCTCTGAAATTCTGTCCAAGGTAGAAGAAATGGGGTGACAACCCATAGCTATCACGATTTCTGTTATGAGAAGACCCAAGAAACATCCCAAGGAAGGCCCAAATGTATATTTAATTGAAGTGATCACACACAGCTGCAAATTTTCAATATCATGTGTTTTATCCCCAGACAAGTCTGCAGTTGACTCCATCAAAAATCCAGCATGCTACTGATGCTAACACAAGTCTAAGGTACTGGGGATCCTGGAAATCTGAAGCAAAAATAAAATGCTAAAATGCCAAGGCCTTCAGAGAGAAACTTGATCAATATTTCAGATCAATGACCCCTCATCAGAACTCAAAGTACTCAGTGCTATAACCATTTTTAAACAAGGTAGGGAACGAGTGAGGGAAGAGGGGAAAGAAGAAAAGGGAAAGTATGTGTTAGAGTGGAAGGCTGGAAATATTACATGACAAAATGGATCATTGTGTAAAACAAAACAACATAGTAATTCGGACAAGTTAAAAGTGGGCTTAAATTAGGTGCAAATGTGAAATACAGAATCATTGCTACCATCCAAAAAAAGAGAAATAAAATGACAAATTCTCCACTTCACTTTCACTCAGATCCTTTTGGCCTCAACCTCCTACTATGCCAATGAAGAAGGGTCACTGGACCCGAAACGTTAACTCTACTTTCTCTCCACAGAGGCTGCTAGATCTGCTGAGTTTTTCCAGCAATTTCTGTTTTTGTATCTTCCTAGTGAACTGAATTGTATCGTTCTCTGAACTGCCTCCAACTAAATAATATATTTTCTGATATAAGGGGACTAAAACTGCTCACGGTATTCTAGATGTGGATTCACCAGCACTTTGTACATTTTGCAGGTTGTCTCTTACTCTTCAAAACTCCAACGGATATCAACCTAGTTAGTCTGACCTTTGTTCATAAGACAACCTGCCCCTTGTACATAAACTTTCTCTGAACCTCTTCCAACACATTTACAGAGATAACAAGGTATAGAGCTGGATGAACACAGCAGGCCAAGCAGCATCAGAGGAGCAGGAAGGCTGACGTTTCGGGCCTAGACCCGAATCTCTCCAACACATTTACATCCTTCTTTCAATAAGATAACCAATATTCTACACATACTCCAGATGTGATCTCAAAAGTGCCCTATATAACTGAAATATAAACTCTCTCCACTCTTGTATTCCATTCCTCTCACAATAAATAATAATATTCCATTACCATTGCTAAATACTTGCCATATTTTGCATACTAACCTTTTGCAATTCATGCACTAGGACACTCAGATTCCTCTGTATCTGAGGGCTCTCAAATCTCTCACCTTTTAGATAGCATGTCTTTAATTTCTTCCTGACAAAGTGGACAAACTCAAAATAAGCTCAAATGGACAAAATCTTTTAATTACTGCTTTCTGGACTCAACACTAAATTCAACAATTTCAGATCAAAACCTCTGCCCCATTTTTCTTTTGTTTTGACATTTCATACTTCCTCCAAGCACATCCTTTGTTTCTTGTCCCATTGTCAGCTCTTTTTGTCTTCCAGTTAATTTCTGCAGCCTATCAGACTTTTTTTTTTGTCCTTTCCCAAAATCTGTAATATCTCTGAACACTCATTCTGAGAAAGGTCACTGACATGAAATGTTAACTCTGTTCTCTGATGACTGATGCAGTCAGGTCTGCAGAGTATTACCAACAATTTCAGATTTTTATGAAGTTGTAGACTTTCCTGGCCAGCTGTTCAATTCATTCAGCAATTGGCTGTTGCAGAGACAGGCCCTAAAATTCACATCTCTATCCTGTTCTACAATGCTAAGATGTTTTATTGTCCTCCTTTCACATGGACTGTCCTTTCAACGTGCACTTAATTGTATTGATCAGTGAATCAAGCAATGTAGACCCCTTGAACCAATAGTCTAATGGCAATAGCGCTTGGAAAATTAAGAGCAAATGACTGTGCAACTTTGGCTACAACAATGCAATTGTTATTTTGTGTTAAAATTAATTGAGTTTACAAACCGCCTTAGTGGTTGATTAGTTTTAAGATTTTATAAATGTTGCTATTCCTGTGTCACAATCTTTTTATTTAGGTGGCTGCTTGAAAAACAAAGAGAAAAACTGCATTTTTACCTGATGTAAATCAAATGACAATTGTTAGATGGCTGCTGTAAAATCCCCACAATACCAATATTCATGAACTTTCTTCCACTGGCTTGTGAAAGATGGCTAGGGTACTTGGAATTTGATCTTATACAGTATCTGGAGACAGGTCAATGAGTAACAGAGCGGCTTCTGTTTGAAGTAAGTGGAACACTAACGACATTATAACCAGCAATTTTGAAATTGATGTTCACACAAATACAGTTGATAAGGATTATATATTTTCAGAGGTGGAGACGATGTGGTTCCAGAGTGACATTTCATAAAATCAACATTATATAGCTAGTGAACACTGAAAACTGCATTAACATACATGTTATACTAGTAACTGCATGTTAGAATGTGCATCGGAAATTTTTAAAAAATGGAAAACTTAAGTGTAAGATTAAGAAAATCAGTGGATTAGAAATTAAAATCTTCAGAATTATATTCAAATATTGTCCACCTCAAAAAGTGTCAAGTCTGTATAAAATCCCAGCCCCTTCCATAACAGAAGTTTGTACTTCCCTTTCTGGGAATAGTTTATGTCATGTTCTTCACACCCTTGGACAGAGGTACAAGAAAAAGTTTTGTTGCTTGATTTTCTGTTTCCCTCCTAACATTCAACCTCATTTCATTGGTATTGTTGTGGTCAATAATGTTACCCACTCCAATTTTTCCCTACAACCCATCTTTCCATCCCCACCTCAATGAAATTAAAGGTCCAATTTTATAAATGTGTATTTTGAGTCTGGACATTGCCAACAGATTGCACATATTGACAGATTCCAGACTGCTATTCACAATTTTCTAAATGTTCGCAGTCATTTGGACAAATGTAGATTGATTAAGGAAATCCTGCATACACTTGCTAATACAATAGGCTTGTCAGCAAAGTTGAAGGGAATATTAGGAACAGCACCACGCATGGATATGAAGTTGTCCGAGTACAAGAAACAGTGAGTACTGGTTGTTCTTCAGACTGGAGGGAAATATATACCCAGGGGCATATGCAGGTTTTGTTTTCTTTTATACTGAAGTTAGATTTAACTCATCAGAAATGTAAGCACCATGTTCAAAATGAAGCAAAGTGACTAGTCACCTTTAAACCTAACTTATAAGCTGATACCAGCAAGAGGTAGGAATGTAACAAAACATCAATCCTCTGAAAAACTAACCTCTTTTCCTGGAATTGTGAAAATTGCTGTAAGTTTACCATTGCCAATCTTAAATATGTAAACCTAGAAAAGGAAATCAGATGGCATTATATTGCATCAATCATAACTAGACAAGCCACATAATAAACTTACATTTTGGACTGAAAGAGGAGTAATGGCAATTAAATGACCTTGCAAAAAATTCCTTACAAATGTATATTGTTTCTAACAATGCCCAAATTGATTTCTGATCCACTTTCCGTAAGTGGGTCAGGCTTATGTAGTAGATTAATGTTAATGTTGACTTTAGTTTCACTACATTATAAAATGTAGAGGTACCATTCTGCAATCTACTCATGATGTAGTGTCTGCCCACTGGAGCTCATCATAAGCAAACTAACAATATGTGAGTACAGTACAAGTTAGCATTATGGATATAAAAAAGTCGGTCTGTGTAATCTTATAAAATGGGAGATTGGTCTTACAACAGCAGAACCGTATGGATTCGACAATAGTTTCAAATACTAATTAGTTATTTAAAGGGCATTTTTTTCACAGAAAAGTTTTTAGCAAACTGCAGAGAGAAGAATGGTAAGCAATCTTTGATAATACTTTTGTCATGGCATCCTTACTCCTGTACTCCTTTGAAATAATGCCTTTCTAACTACTTGCTCTACCTACATGCTAACTTTTAGTCTCTTAGAGACAAGAACACCCAGATCATATTGGACATCCACACTGATAACCATATAAGAAATATTCTGCCTTTTTTCCAATTAAATGGAATTACTTCACATTGTACTCCATTTGTCATGTTCTAGACCATTTACTTGGCTTGTCCAAGCTTGTTTGAAGGCTCCATGCGCTGTCTTCACAAATTATATTCACATAATTAAATGTGGTCTGTACAACTATAAACGATCAATCTCTGAATAAAAATATCTAACCATGAGCCTAAGCATTTATGGCAACAATTGAGAAAAATCATAGTTATGTTAGTGACAAGAAATCTGTTGGTAAATACCAGTGAGTAAAGGATAATATGGCAGTAATGTCTGAGTGAGACACAAAAGATGCTTGGAGTTCCTTGACTTGTTGAGCTGCCTCTAAATATTAAATAATGAAGGTTTAAGTGTTGTTTGAATATTTATCTTTCACACTGTAAATAATTGTCTTTTTTTTGACTGGACTGTTAGTTTTGTGGGATTCTCTTTTATTTTTCCATTTCTGTTGCAAATGAAATAAATAAATATAAAATATTATCATCAGTTACGAGGATGAACCAGGTTTGCAAGTGCTTTCCTGTGTTTGTCTATCATATGGGCATGGAGTTACAAGTAGGACACCTCAAGAAAGTATTGCTGTCAGTAATTTCCTTCCTGTCTATAAGGAAGTACTGTCTCCTCCACATGATGTTTTTCATCTAATTTCACATGGATAGTCATGAGGGTAAACTCACATGCCACATACAAAATGCAAAAAACAGGCTGTCCTTATACCTCCACTCAGAGGCTGTAGAAATTTGTGAAAGGAATGAATAAACTGGCTGGTCCAAGCCAACAAAGCTTTGACTGGATATTGCCCAAATTGAATACTAGCATCAACTCCCAGCACAACTTGACATAGATATTTTGTTAGTCCAGCATATTACAAACACAGTCAGCAGTTGAACTGTGCAGCCATTGCACAGAATCTTGCCTGTCAAGAGTGTGCTAAGCAGGTTCAATAGTTGGTAGGGTGAATGCATGCCATTTAATATGCCTTGAACTCAGGAAACCTGGCACCTGAGAAACATAAGGTTTTTGGCACTTACTTGATCTATTTGTGTACAACTGACTGATTGATTTGGCCAATGTCAGCAACAGTGCCTTGAAAGGATCTTGTGCTATACCCTATATACTTGAGTAGAAGTGTATCTCAGGTAAAAGACAACACCCTATTTTTGGCCAAAAAATCTGGAATTTTCAATGTATCTCATGTAAAAGTCAGCCCTAGTTCCTTACAGATAACAGATCAACATTTGCAAGTTATCCTGTCATACCAGTAAATGTTACGATGAGGAAATGATTGGTGAGACTGTGTGAGAGTCAAACGAAAATAACAGTAGACAAGAAAAATGGAGGAAAACGGAAGAATTTGGTTCAAAAACTTAAGTCTCATCAGGTCAGTGTCAGGCACTCGAGGAATACAGCCATATACCTAGTTGAAGTTTTGAAATTTCTCCATTATTTTGTGTAAAAGCGTCCTCTAGAAGAAACAAAACATATACATCAGCGTTTAAAATGGAAGTTACTAAAGTTGCAGAGAAGATGAATAATTGTGTAGCAGCAAGAGAATTTTGAGTTCCAGAGAAACTTGAGAGGGACTGGAGAAAGATATCGAACCAACTTCAGACAATGCCAAAAAAAAGTGTGCCAACAGACATAAACCTAGCAAGTGGCAACAATAGGAGAAACAAGTTGCTGAGTGGGTACTTGAAAATCATCAAAATGGAAAATGTGTTAGTCGTGAAGCCATCTGAATCCATGCATGAAACAAATCAAAGGAGGATGGGATTTTGGATTTTAAGGCAAGTGCTGTATGGTGTACAAGGTACATGAGAAGGCATGACTTAGTACTTTGACAGAGAACTACGATTGTGCAAAAGCTGCCTGTTGAACTTGAAGGTAAGATATTACAGCTTCACCAGTTTGTAATCAGAGCTCGACAGAAAGAAGGCTACAATTTATATATTGAAAACATGGACGAAATGCCTATCACTCTCAACATGCCCGAGAATCGAACTGTGAACCAAAAAGGAGATAAAAACAGTACTGGTGAAAACCACTGGCCATGAGAAAAAGAGATAGTAGGAACTGCAGATGCTGGAGAATCC